ATTTTTCCTCCTACCCTGAAGATTGAGGCGATACGTTCTTCTGAAACGTCGGTTAACACCACATCTACACGGTGCCACATCCCAGAAGACTGCTTTCTTCATAACTAATTCTGTCTGCAGGGTGTGACCCAACTCCTGTGACAAGTGGAACATTTTTATCGGCTTTCAGTCCTGTTATATTTTTAGGTGGATCTGTAACTGATCTATTGAATTTGCTCATTTCGTCTGTCTGTGCCTATGCATGAGAAAATTCGAGAATCACTGGAAGGATTTTCATGAAATTTAGGAAAATCTTTGCGCGGCTTCAATTTCCATTTATACGGGACACAAGTTTAACGACCAGTATACATGAGGACCTACTTGCTTTTCTGCGCCCTAAATATTTATCCGGACAGAGAAATCGTAGAGAAAAATTAATAACCAATAAAATGTATCCAAAGTTCTAGTGATAATTGAATAATATTTAGTTTTTTCGAAGTTCCATATTAAGCAATCGACATTGGCCTCCAGAACACAACAGGAACTAAAAAGAAGAAACACGAAAGAAAGTATTTTTTGATTTTAAACATCTTTAAAATGTGTTCGATTACTTTCAAATATAAAAATCTCAGAATCACTGTTTTTTGGACATTTTCAATCATCCAGTATTCTGGAGACTAGAAAGCCCAACGTTTCGGAAAATGGATCTGTTTCCGTCGTCAGGTAAGGGGGAAAGACACCTACCCTCTTACGTCCCCTAGAAAGAGCTAACCTCGATCACTGGACAACCTCTGTCAGATTCACACAGCCATTTAAAAGTGCGTACAATTTTATCTGTTTCTTTCAGGATCAAGCTTAAAATTTATGAACCATACAGGTTCGCGTCAAATCTCCTATTGTTATTCTGGAGGTGGCTGGTTTTAACACCAAGAAGGCCGCCGTGAATGTGGAAGGTTGAACATTGCGTATATTGTGCATTTTAGACTTCATATGTGTATCCATACAATCAACATCTATTGTAATAGTAGTTTCCGAAAGTATTGATACCCTCTGAGGATGATCCGTAAGGATCGAAACATGTAAGGGAGATAAATCCTAAAGTGATAAAACTTAAACAGTCACATTAGACGGTATTATTTTTGCCTTTGTGTATAAAATTGTTTAATAATTTTATTTCAGTTTAGCGTGTGAAGTAAGAGTGAATGTTGAGACATTAATATTGATTATTTATTCGTCCGGGACATACGGGTTATTATAAATAATATGGGGAACACGGTAGCGTAGTTGGTTGAGGCACTATGCTACAAGCCGGAACGTCGCGGGTTCGATTCCCGATGAAGTCATTGGATTTTCCAATTGACCTAATCCTTCCAGCAGGACTATGGTCCTGAGGTAGATTCAGCCTCTAACAGAAATGGGTATCAGGGATCTTCC